TCCCTAACACACAGGCCCTGGAAAGGAGCTATTACATTTTAAACTGGGACCTTAGCACTGGCATTCAGCAATGCCAAAAGTACACCATTATACTGCTTCATACATCTAGTGAACGTTTGTTGGTGTTAAAATGCTGTGTTCTGTGATGGGAGAGGGTAATGTCCTGCAACGCATATGGGTTTACTGGGCAGAGCAATGGCAATATTGCCCAGGTCCTTTTTTTTTTTTTTTTGCTGGAACTTGGTGGAACTCATTTCTACCACCTCTGGCCCAGGGCCTCTGCTCCCTGCTAACCAATATCACTTGTAAACACAGAAGTCTGGCTTCTGTGTTTATAAGTGATAGCATGTCCGCCACTGGCTCCCACAAGGATCTCCTGAGCAGATCCCACTGAGTACAGGACAGGGACAAGGGAGATGCAGGTGCCCAGGGTGCAGTTCAGCCATGGGCAGGAGGGGTTGCATGGTAGGCTGCACCCTCTGTGATCTTTTTTTTTTTATTCCTGGTGCAGGGATGGCTATGCCCCCACCCCCTGCAAGAGTGAGAGCTGCCTATAGTGTACAGGGAGGCACTAGGGCCAATTGGGTGCCTTAACTTAATAACAACAAAAGCAAGATATGTGGAAGATGGTGAAACTTTTAAGGAGTGGGGGAGAAGATGAGGGCAGTGGAGGAGAGGGGGGAGGAGTTTGTGCAGAGGTCAGAGCTGAAGAGGGGCGAAAGTGAGATATCGATGGGGGATGCAGAAGAGGGCTGAATTTAGCACTCTGTGTGTAGCGCACCGCTGAACTCTACACTCTGTGTATAGAGCACCCATGAACTCTACATTCTGTGTATAGAGCACCCATGAACTCTACATTCTGTGTGTAGAGCACCCATGAACTCTACATTCTGTGTGTGGAGCACCCATGAACTCTACACTCTGTATGTAGTGTACCCCTGAACTCTGCACTCTGTATTAGCGCACTCCTGAACTCTGCACTTTGTGTGTAGCACACCCATGAACTCTGCACTGTGTATGTAGTGTACCCCTGAATTTTGCACTGTGGACGTAGTGCACTCACAGTATTTAATGCCTCTTTAAAATCCTCCCACTGTTAATGAAATTTGCACACACCTACTATTTGATGCCCATTGGTAGGTATGCATGTTGTGGAGAGAGGATGGTTTTTTTTGGGGGGGGGGGGGGGAACATGGTCGAGTTCCTGCTCCTATTCTCTGACAAAGCCCCAGTTTTTGCACAGAATAAGGATTTACCATAAAGTATCATAAATCTGACGGGCTTCATTTTAATTGGAACTTTATAAAAGTATGCTTGGTTACATGTAAAGGAATAATTGTATACATTGTAAAATTGTCTGTCTTTATTTTATGAGCTAAGTTATTTTATTTGTTTGACTAGCAGAAGTGATTCTTGTATTTTCAGAAAATAAATTAAAGCTTAAAGTGATTATGAAGGTAAATGTTTTACCACCGCACAGCTCGGCCCCACCCCCCTACTCCCTTTTCACAGGATTTGATTGACAGCAGCGGGAGCCAATGTCTCCCGCTGCTGCCTCTGAGTCCTGAGAAGAGTGATATACTGTTCTGGACTAAGATTGGACTAAGGTAAGTATTTAGGGGGGTTTGAACACAGAAGGTTTTTTTTTTTTTTTTACAGAGAATGCCTTAAGGTAAAAAAAAAACAAATCTTTTACAACCACAACCACAGAGATATCAGATTTTCCAGGAGGCTGATGCAGACAATTGCATTTTTTTCTGAACAGTTGCATTAATCCGTCAAGAATACAAGTGTTTACAGGCATAAAATGTGCCTGGCATAAATTTCCCAATGTTTTTGTGCTCCAGAAAAGTTGTCCCTGTACTCATGGAAATGCTGATGCATGTTTGCAACATTTACGCATTCCGGGAATTTGTTGTATGCACATATGTGGGTAAGTGCCAATGCATATGTGCATTGGAGTTTACACGACTGCAGGGATGTAAAGTCATTCCTTTCTCTGACCAACTGTATGACATCTCGGTGTGCGGGAAAACGCCAGTAATGTTATGTTAGGCATATTTTATAAGTGCATGAGGGTTTTGATCTTAGTATAGTTTCTTTTTTTCTACCTGATAAGTTTAATTTATTCTCTCTTTATCATATTTTCCATATACAAAAATCATCCAAATACATATAAATAATTCTCACTTTAAGACGACATTATTAATAAGCATTCCCCTAATTTACAAAATTCGTCATAAAATCTTTCTCATTACTGTCTCTGGAAGTATTGGTTAAATTAACTAAATAGTTGGCTGAACATTGGCTTTTAAACCTGCCTTGGCACAAGAAAGTCCATGCAAGAGACTGCCGTTCTGTTCCCACAGTCATATTATTACTGCCGGAGTCACAGAGCAGCGGTAACGTATTGTACCTGAGGGCTGTTTGAGTAATTAAAAGGATTTGACTGGCCATTTACTTTCACTAGAAATGAGCCCATGTGATTCTCCGCAGTACAGTGTGACCTCATTGCTCTGGAATGTGGGGCCTTTTTCTTCTCTAGTTTATGAATGCTTTGTAAGGGTCTGCTAATTGCCAACCTTCGCCATACGGTTTCTTTGTACCATATAAAACGACTATTCTGGCATGTCTGTATCTATGGTTAGGTGTGACTGTTGGACGTCCATTGCTGTATCCAGCTTGTACTTTGTTTCTGTGAATCTACATATAAGCAGATTGCTCAGTAAATAATAAAGAATAAGTACTGATGGTGATTGTATTAAACTTTTATTATACGGAAATAAGACCAGAAAAAGAACTACGGTCTAATTATAACACCATATATTTTCTTTTTAAAGAGAGCTCTTAAAATCACAAATGCAACCAATTAACACAACTCTAGGGAATATGCCTGCAGGTATACTTTAGCAGTAAACTTTCCTATTGGGTTAGGTGAGTACTCAAGAAGAAAAATAAAAAGCAACCAAATAGGTGTTAAATATCCTATTTACATACCCAGTGCCATAGTGGATCTCATATCAACGTAAATCTTCCTTTACACTCTAAACTCCATTTGGGGACACCTGAAGCAGGTTGGGAAAAGTCCTTTTCAACTGCAGCACCACCCCTCCATCCCCGAAGCATCGCTGCACTTTTTGTTTTACTATTTTTTATGTATACATATTTTACCTTTTTGGAGCAGTTGGGTCAAATGACATCCTGAAGTTCTCCAGGTCCAGGTGAACTTCTATGATGTAGAAGACAGCATTAAGTAGTGATGTGGTCTGCAATATTCTCCTGTGAGAGATAAGGGCATCTTGATGATCAACCCCTAGGAAGGTTGGTCTTGATTTTCAGAGCTCATATGGGGTGGGTTTAATGATGCTGGGTGTCACTTAACCTGAAAGAAAAGCAAGGCCCGGGACCTGAGGGATGAGGAGTCACCCTGGCTGATAGCTGCAGGAATAGATAGACTTACAGTAAGCTTTTTTTCCATTTTAATAATACCAATGTAGCCTCCAAGCAAGGAATATGCAAAATAAATTCAAAACCATGCAGGGCATTTACTTTATATTTTGGGTTTGTCACTTCCATTTAGTGCAAGTGGCTCCAGCGCTTCTCTTTGCCATTTTATTTTTGATTATTAAGGAATATGCAACGTCTTCAGCTGTCTTTGAGCAACTTTGTCAAAGTTTTTAATGTAACTTGAACCTCTAGTTTTGAGACATTAAAGGATAAGTTCACCTTTGGAACGTTGCATGCTCCAACCATTTTTAGAGTGGAACATGTAACATATAGCCATAGCTGCAGCTGCGCCTGCTACCCCCCCTCCCTCTGACAGATAGCACAGGGAGACGTTTCCCCATACTATCTGTCAGATTTGAAAATAGCTCTGCCCACACGGCCGCGTCACTAATTCACAGTGTTCTGTGAATGAGTGCCTACAAGTCCCGGCAGCTTTAGTGGTGATCAGCTTGTAGTTTTGTGGTGCAATGCTTTCCAGGCTCCTTTGGACAAAAATAATAAATGCACATTTTTTGCCTGCATTTTTTAGTAGAAAAATGGCTTAACTGCTTATTTTAGGCCCCCCCAACCGCATATATAAACTAGCCTTTAACTCTGTTCCTTAAACTGTTATTGGCTGCGCCAGGCTTCATTTGCACTTGTGCATTGCGGAAACGCATCCAAATCATTCGCTTTCTCGCAAAGCACCAACATGCACTTCTGTGTGGTGCTGCCATTCATTCTTCATGGCACCCCCATGCAGTACCATGCATTTTGGTGTGGTACAATTAAAACAATGAGTCCGGCACTTCTTTTGCGCATCTCTGGCAGGTAAGGCAGCCCATTGAAATTAATGAGCTGCCCTAAACTTGACACACAAAATGCGCAAAAAAGCACGTGTCCATATCTGCGAGGTATGAATGGGAGACTTAAAGCTGCAAGAAAGCTGCTCCAAAATTTTTGAAAAGTTTGCAGAGGCTTTGGAAAAGCTGTACACACTGTTCTGATAAAAGCTGATATTAAGGCATCATGCACACTGGGGGTAAAAAATGCTGCTTATACAGGCATTTTTTCTTTTCAGCCTGTGGAAGCCGCTCTATGTGTCCATGCACATTTGGGTGTTTTTGGGAATAGAGGAGCATTTATAGGCCAAAAAAAACATCACAAGTGCATTTTTGAGAGGAGCTTTCGGGCAGAAAAAACACTTGACGTGCCTAAATGCGGCATTTGGGTGCATCAAACGTTTTTAAGAGTACATTTTTTTCTAGTGTTTTTGGGGAACACATTTCTAAACTGTTTTTTTATGATTTTAAGTTTTTTTTTTGTGCTTTTTTCTGCCAGCAGTTCTGGTATGTTTTCTGCTGCCTAGTGTGCATGGACTCTAATGGTACAGTATATTACAGTAATAGTGCATGTCCCTTTAATGAAAGATGGCTTGGTGCTGAAAGAAATGTCAGAATAATATGATCCATAATTATGAGAATTAAAAAAAGAATCTTTGTTGTCCATATCAGATTGAACAGATGAGGGGAGAACTGCTTCAAGAACGAGCTGCCAAGCAAGATTTGGAGTGTGATAAAATGTCTTTGGAAAGACAGGTAACATTTGATTTTTTTCTAAGCTTGATTATTTTTTGTTGCATACTTGGGCTAAAGAAAATCAAAGTAAATTTTCAGGAATGTAATGCAGTGCTGAATTTTGCAGTCTGCGGTAAATGAAATATTAGCGACCTAATGTAGATGTGAGTGTCTGCCTTGGTTGGGATGTAAATGGGATCCCGGCTGAAAATCTGTTATTCTTAAAAGATTCCTTGCTTATTGTTGAAATGTTCGGCTTTGTTTTAGAGCCTTGTGTAGCATTTGAAGTTGAATATTGTTTGACCTGCTGCACTTTTCTTTTTGCTCAGAACAAAGACCTGAAGAGCAGAATAGCTCATCTTGAAACGTCACATCGATCCAATAAAGAAGGACTTGTTGCTCAGATGGAAGCAAGAATAGTGGAGCTGGAAGAACGCCTGGAAAATGAAGAAAGGTAATGGAGTTTGTTGTGTGTTTGGGCTTGCTGAATGATTTTTTTTTTTAACTCTTTATTGACTTTTTATGTCTTATTGCTGTAACATAGTTGTGCTTCCAGTTATACGTTATGATGTAGTATTTAGCTTATATTTTTCTTTTTTTTCTCATACCTATTTGCAGATGAACCCCTGAATTAGAAATTTACATCTGAGATACTATATTTGATCAAATTAAATTGGTAGTAAATACTTTTTTTATATAATAATACTTTTACAGCTTACCTGTAGGTAAAATGAATATCTCCTAAATGTGTTTAGGAATATTCACTCTTTTTGAAAATCAGCGCAGGCGCTTTGAAGGAACGCACACCCATGCCGTTGCTTCAGAGCTGAGTGACGTGGCCGGGGACTCCAGCACGCATGTGTGGGAGTGACGTAATCGCAGCTCGGCCAGTCAGACGGTCGGAGCTCACGAACAATGAAAGGAAGACTGATTGAAGATGGAAGCCTCTGCAGTGGTGGCAGTGAACCACTGAAGGGCTTTGTTTAAGGCAAGTCCTTCATAATGTGCTAGCATGCGATGCATACTAGCACATCATGACATTACCTTGCAGGGGATTTTTTTAATTATTTTTTTTAAGCTGTGGTTTACTACCGCTCTAAAGAGCTTAGATAGAAAAATACTTTTTCCGGCATTCATTGTAAATTTTAGTAAAACATCTTTGTGGTATTTTAGATTTATTGAATGCATGTACTGTTGTATGATGTTCGATTTGGACATTTTAAAACGTATGTCAAGGCAAAATTTAAAGCAGAACAAAAACTTCTTTACATGTCCTTGTTGCTGATTTCCTACCTTCACTGAATAGATCATCCACCTTCTGGTTCACTCAGTAGTTGCTCTGAAATAGCCTATTCATTTTCAAATAAAACCGTTAATTCTCTTTGGTTTCCTGTTTGTAAGACCAGTGGCTACTATGTCTCCTATTCCCCCAGCCACTGGTCCTAGCACATCCCTTCTGTAGTTCTTTCTCCAGGAAGCAGTGATGTAATTTAGCCCAACTTGCTGTGCTGGGCAGAGCAAGACTCTCCGACACATTGAACATGTACAGGCCTACTGTATGAGCCCACATTCACTGCAGTTCCCTGTGGTTGATGGGAACTGTAATTTCCTTTACTGCAGCAAGAGAGGATATGATGTAATCACTGCTGTTACACCTGCTCCTTGAGAGAGAGGATGCTGTTATCTTTTACAGGGATGAGGTCATAAAAAAATCAATGGGTGATTTTTTTATTTTTTTTGCCTATCCCTGTTCTTTAAAAAAAAAATAAAAGTATATATAGTATATCTCTGCAATTCATGCATATTTACACGTTTTAACCATTTGAGGGCTAATACACACTACGCATCTGTCAAAGCCCTTCTGAACACCAGAACTTCTAGCCAGGAAAAGCTGCCTAAAAAAAGTGGTAAAAGCCACGCACTGTGCACACATTTTAAACTTCTAGTGTTTGAGATTTACTGCATTCTATTGGTCAGAACAATAATTTATTCTGGCCATTTTAATGCATTTACGTTCAAATGCTAGACTCAATTCTAGGCCCACTCCAGTCCCCACTGCACTCAACTGCTCTGATGACATAGTCCTACTGCTTCTGTCACTGTAACAGGCTGTAACGTGATTGATCTAATCAGTGACAATCTCTTTTGAACCACCTTCTTCAGGGACCAGGACCAGAGGTTGTCATATTGTAGTGAAGTTTTGAAGTGGACACAGCCGATGACATATCACTACACCGGCCCGTTGCCAGTGTCAAGTGACCGCTGTGACCAATCACAGCAGATCACATGTTAATTGTATACAATGGATGGCTTCCATTCATGCCATCCATTGTATACAATTATGTTGTTAGCTGGGACTGGTCAAGGCAGTCACATGATACAGACAGGGCCAATCATAGCCCATCTGTATCATGTGATCACAGCTAATCTCAACAAAAGCCTGAATGAATCAGTTTCATTCAGTAACAATGATTGCAAATATCAATGAAATACATTGGTATTAGCAATCATAATGTGTTAAAAAAAAAAAAATCCTGATCACGTGCCCAGAGTAGTTACTATGGTAACATTGTATTGCTTTGGTCACAGTGTGCTGAAAAATAAAAAATAGTAAAAAAAATAAAAAATGTAATAAAAAAATAAAAAACAATAGAAAAATATGAGAAAAAAAATACAAATTCAGTTAATATTATTATTTTCACCAAAGAAATGTAGCAGAATTACATTTTGACCTAAATTTATGAAGAACTTGTATTTATTTGCCAAATTTTATAAACAGAAACGGTGCGGTTTTTTTTTCAGAAGTTTTAGGTGTTTTTTATTTTATTTAGCAAAAAATAAAAAAACTCAGTGGTGATTAAATACCACCAAAAGAAAGCTCTATTTGTGTGAAAAAAATGATAAAAATGTAATATGGGTACAGTGTTGCATGACCGCGCATTTGTCATTCAAAGTGCGATAGCACTAAAAGCTGAAAATTGCCCTGGTCAGGAAGGGGGTATAAGTGCCCGGTATTTAAGTGATTAAGCAATGGAAATCCGTTTCATGGGTCCAATGAGTTTGGTGGAAGGTGAATTAAAGAAGAACTTTCCTTTTTTTAATAAAAAGGTGAACCTTACCTTTTTTTCAAAATGCTTTTTATTTGTTTCCTTATTTATCCCCACTTGCTTTGTCATACAATGACACTTCAGGTTAAGTGAAAGGGATGGCAACAGAGACGGACTGACCATTCGAGCACTCGGGCACTGCCCGAGGGCCCGGGGTCAGTATGGGGCCCCATGAAATGCCCCTAGTACTTTTTTTTATAGGTTTTGTTTGGGTGTGGTTTGAGTGTGGGCAAGGACACAGGGGCCCCATGATCCCCTATTGCCCGGGGGCCCCATGAATTGTGAGTCCGCCCCTGGATGGCAAATTTGTTTCTCAGCTCCTGAGTGTACAGAAGTGCCTCATAACCCCTCGTGTATCACATTGTATTGGTATTGTTCTGTCTCATGTTCTGTCCCCCTTTGTAATGTACAAGTATATGATCCAAACGCACACGTTCCTGCGTTAAAAATGGCTGTGTGTATGAGTGGGTGCTGCAGTGACCGTTGGCTGGAACCAAACAGAATCAGCAAGGAAAAAATGTCACCAGCACACCGAGGATCACCAATATGGGTCCAAAGGTTTTAATAAACCATCACATAGTTACAGCAAGGCAACGTTTCGGAGTCTCGCAGGACCCCTTCATCAGGCATGTGACAAATCGTGATAGAAACTGGAGAACTATTTAAAAAAAAACATCCACCAATCAGAGTGAAGTGAAATGAGCTTGGCCCCACCCCATGATGTCATGTTCCCTCCAAAAATGTATTCAAATCAATGTAAACAGAAACAATACAAACTGCAAAAAATAAATAAACAATAATCGGTCATGCATAACATGAACATCCTTAGAGCTGATGACACTATCACCCGACTTAAAGAATCCACCATTGATGGCGCATAAGCGAGGTAGATCCCTACGTGACTTATTAGTTCAAGCGGACCCTAGGACCAAATACGCTAAGGCAGTATTCAAGTTCTCAGAAAGACAGGGTTGCTATAAGTGTTACAATTGTAATGTATGCAACTCATTGATCTGTGGGGAATATTTCACACATCCCCACAGTGGGAAACGTTACCAGATACAGGGTTACCTGAACTGTAACACCGATCACTGCGTTTATATTCTGCAATGCCCATGCTCACTAGTTTATGTGGGCAAAACAAAAGGTCCCTTTAAGCGAAGATTTCAGAAACATAGGAGTGACATTAGGACAGCTCTAGTCAAGAGTACCAAAGGTGAACCCATTGATTTGAGCAAACCCGTAGCAGTCCATTTTATTTCGGCAGGACACCAGGTACATGAATTGAGGGGCATGACCATTGAACACGTCAGTCGATTGGCGAGAGGAGGAGATCGTGACAACTTCCTCCTCCGTCGTGAAGCTTATTGGATCCATACCCTTGACACAACACAACCGAGGGGACTTAATACTAACACATCATATGTGTGCTTTTTGGATCGCAGATGAACTTTGGTTATGATGATTCCTCATGATTGAAGTGTATATAGTTTTGTAGATAACTTTTGGTTTAGATTTTTCACATTTGCACTATTCACAGTGGTCTCTCTCTTTCTTCCTGCAAGTAGGTGAGCTGTGTCACCTCTATACATTTTTTTTTTTTTTTTTTTCTAGCCTCTTTTCCATTTTATCACTCCCTTTTCTTTCACTTTTCCCCAGCTCCATTCATGGACTGATTATCATCATTCTCAGGGCTGGTTCGCACTATGAATACGTAGTCAAGATGCGTTCCAGATGCGTCTTTGCCTGTGCGTTTTGACACGGTTTTTGGCATATCTGGTGCATTTTTTATGCATTCCAAAGTATTTTTTATACATTCTAGTCCATTTGTTTCCCCTCTCTTTTTTTCATTTGAGATGGGGATATGTGTAATACGGCATATTTTTGGTGCACTCCGGTACGCTTTGATGCGTTTTGCAGCATTCCAGTGCAGCTCTGTACGAGTGAGATGCGGCTTGTTCTGCTTTTTATCTGCAGCTGGAACGCACTGGAACTACGAACACTGATGTGAACTATGACATTGGCAACCATGTATAGTATACTACTTTATCTTTGGATGCAGATGAAAAGTAACTGAAATGCATGTGGTGTGAACTAGCCCTCAATCTGTTTTCTTTGCGTTCTTTTTTCTTCACAGCTCATCTCTGCAACCCCGCCCACCCACTGGTTTGTGTGGCGTCGGCGCCATATGTTTCTATGACGCCGGCGACTTGCCTCCGTCTTGTCCTTCCCGGCGCCAACATCATGGGTTTCCATGATGATGGCGACCGGTGCAGGAATGTCTTTGAGCGCATGTGTGAGTAGTAAACTCTCATGGTGCATGCAGGTGACATGCGTCGCTATGAAACTGTCGGCCGCTGCACTAATAGGACCACTGTAGGTGTGTCCCCATTGCAGCTCACTTGGCAATCGGAGACAACCCTCCCACATTTCTAGGTAACAGTCTTTATCTTCTGTCAGGGACATATATGCTGCTGGTTGTTGATTCCAGAACCCAGCGCTGCTTTCAGCTGACACTTTTATTACAATCCGGGGAGTACCATGATACACATGTGACCACAATGTTTATATCCCCAGGAATGCAGTTTATGTACATCTGATTATTGTTTATTTATTTTTGCAGTTTGTATTGTTTCTGTTTACATTGATTTGAATACATTTTTGGAGGGAACATGACATCATGGGGTGGGGCCAAGCTCATTTCACTTCACTCTGATTGGTGGATGTTTTTTTTTTAAATAGTTCTCCAGTTTCTATCACGATTTGTCACATGCCTGATGAAGGGGTCCTGCGAGACTCCGAAACGTTGCCTTGCTGTAACTATGTGATGGTTTATTAAAACCTTTGGACCCATATTGGTGATCCTCGGTGTGCTGGTGACATTTTTTCCTTCCTTTGTAATGTACAGCGCTGAGCGAACTGTTGGCGCTTTATAAATACTGTATAATAATAATAATAAAGCAGTGTAGTGCAATGTAGGCAGCTATAGAACTCTCTTTTTTTTACACTGCTATGCATCAGAAGCCGATTAACTATGTGTGAGGTCAGGCAGTTGGCAAGACTTCAGTCACATAACAGGAAAAGCATGCAAATACTGTATTTTTATTTTTCATAAGTAAGACTGTACAATCATAATTTAAGAATAAATATTGAGATTCTCACAATCAGTTTTTTATTTTTTACGCTTGTTCAAAAAAAAAAATACAGAATAAGAATTAGAGCCAAATAAATAGTGCCATTTGACCCTGCCAAGAAAATGTGAAATCAAGGGAACCTGCCCATGGCCAAACACAATCACTTGGATCGTTTGTTTGCAGGGAAATTGGGACATTGCAGTGTGTCTGCAGCCGAAGCTCCGGCATTAGTATTCCACTTGTGCAGGATAACATCACAGGAAGCTGGCATACTGTACCCAGATGTCTATTATGCTTTCCTTTGAATGCTTTGCTTATGATTCAGCGCAGTTCACTGCGACTGGTTGCTGTGCTGATGTCTTGCTTTGCCATCTTCAGAAACTGTCCCGTGTCTCTGTATATTTGTTTGTTACAGTTAGTTGACATATATATAGTTGTGTCATTTTCATTATTGTTTTTTAATTTTTTTTTTTTTTAACGATGGTAGATCCATAGCAATGTAACATTCAAGCAGTAAATCCGCAGAATATTAAATGCAGCATACGTTTCATCAGTATTCTGAGTGAAAGTTGAAGAGTCTGGCACAGTTTCCAGCTCCAATTTCCAAACAATGTGCTTTAACTTTCCACAGGGATCGGGCAAACCTCCAACTCAGCAACCGCAGGCTGGAGAGGAAGGCGAAGGAGTTAATGATGCAGGTGGATGACGAGCATCTCACTTTAACCGATCAGAAAGATCAGGTAGAGCAAATTTTAAACGGTTCTCCTCTGAAACCGTAATTAACTACTGTATGTCAAGTTTAAAGACCTCAGATACAGCTTTTGTATTCCCGTGTTTGGCCTTGGATGACAAAGTTTATTTTCAAATGACAGCTGTTTTATTCTTGAAGCATTAAATTCAGTCTACCTGATTAATGTTGCTTTGAGCGGTGAAACTCCAAGCAGCACCAATCTGATGTTGCATGAGAACAGTGGGGTTTGCAGGAAAATGAATACTGATTATAATAAAATATATTAGACAGCCAGTGGTGTGTATAATACTTACATGATAAATTGATGCTTAGGTATTTTGAGATATGTAATAATTTAATGTTCTCCTTTTTATTGTGTATAGAATTGTGAGCTTCATTCTAGGTTAATTCTAAAGCCGGCTATAGATGGACCGAACCTCGGCTGCTTCAGCAGGGACTGGGCCAAGATGTGATCCATCTATGGGCAGGTTGGTTGTACTGAAGTCGATCCATCGATCGACTTCAGTACAACCAGCCTGTTGAATTTTTTTGCATGTGATTACTGCTGGGAGCTACAGTTCAGTAGTAATCGTTGTGTTCTGCCAGCAGGGAGGGATTACACTTCAACACAGTCAGCGACCCGTGGTTGCAGGAAAGAAAATTGCTTCATTTGTGGATTACCTAAGGGTGGGCATGCCCCCCCCCCCCAAAAAAAAAAAAACCAAAAAAACAATGGTGTTGATTTACTAAAGGCCAATATACTGTTCACTTTGAAAGTGAAGTTGCATTCTGCATGGGAGTTGTCGCCAGAGCTTCATGAGTGTGGTTAAACTTCATTTTGCAAAGAATACCCAATCATGTGCAAGGAAAAAAACAGTTTGATTGCACGTGATTGGATGATGAAAGTCAGCAGAGCTTCACCTCCTTCACTACGATCTGGGAATAATTCCTTGCAAAGTGAACAGTCTGCCTGCCTTTAGTAAATCTACCTTACTGGATGCAACAGGTTTAGGCATTGCTTGAGCTCTTGTGTGAATTAGTGTTCAATAGCAAGAGATAAACCCTTCCAATCACATGAAACATTTTCTACCAAGAAAAGAGAATGGATGTTTTATCATGTCTGCCGCATCTCGTATTTCATTCTCGTCTGCATGTACTTACCTGTCTCAGGGTAATACTCTACATGCATTTAGATTTGCAGTTGTCAGTAAGGTGATTGGAAGTAATTTTGTAGTTTAATGCAATGAAATCAACATTGTCTATTTTGTTAAAAAAAAAAAAACACTCTCTCTGGATATATACATTCCAAATATATTAGCAAAATTCATTCTTGATGTTTAGCTGCTCATGTTCTCTAATTATTGAGAAAACAACTGCTATAACTTTTTAAATGCACTGCAAATTAGCAGCATATGACTTCTACAGGTTAGTTTACATGGGTTTCTGAAATATGTCTGCCCGCCTGTGTACATAGTCCCAAAATTCAAGCCACTAATTTTGCATCAATATCCTGCACCTTTGCTTCCCTTCAGGCTTGTAGCCATTTTGGCAAGTATTTCTGCAAAGATAGGACTCAATGCATCCAATGTAAAACCAGTGCTAGGTATACCTGATTCACCTCTGGATTTGTGCATGTCTAGGGAACACAGAGGCCAATGGCAAAAGCAAGAAATAGGAGTTCTGAGGCTCTTCTGTACAGGGTGTTATCGAGTGAAGCTAGAATCAAGATGGCACGTCAATAATTTTGTATAAACGAATGCTTATCTATGGGTCATATTCTATACCACAGCTAGTTTTAGTGGTTTGAGCAAAGATGGGCATGTCATTTACTGCCCCCCATGAGTAATGAGATTAGCCCACTGATGGCGACCTTAAAAGAGAATTTTAGGCTATACAAAAAAAAAAAACAACCTTCTACTCACCTAGGTAGATGCAGCATCAAACCAATGCTTATACTGTCCCCACCACCTGTGCACCGAGAACCCAGAGATCAAACACCGCTGATCACTCAGTTCTCATTGTTCCCTGATCAAAGAACTGGTGACTGTCAGTCACTGGCCCTCTGCTCTGCCCCTCCAGTGCTCACTGGAGCGTTAGGCTATAGTGGGGGCAGTAGGGGCTGGCTCAGGCTCTCGACAGATCATTGAGAAGCTGAGCCATTGCCAGTCACATGGTCAGGATCTTTTCAGAGCCAGGACTGGCTCTATGACTTCAGCCTACAGCAGACTTTAGCCCATTGTCATCTGAAAACGGGTCACAGGAGTGCAGTACAAACTGCACTCGTGATCCATAGGAAAATTTTAGTAAAAAAATCTTTGCTTATACTTTAAGATTCTCTCCGTTTATAAAACCCAACATAGTACATAATTCTTGTTTGCCACAACTCACCTTTTACTCCATTTCCTGACTGACTTCCAGAATACCAAGATTCCATTATTTTTAAAGGTGGTGTAAAGGAATATGTGGCCATTTCCAAAAAGATTCCATCTTTAAACTTTGTAAAATTGGATAAGAATGAAAAAAACACTTCCATGCTGGTTACGATTATTAATACTTCTATTGTTCCTTTCCTCCAGTTTTCATTTCTCAGCCACACAATAGCAAACTGTTTATTGCAAAGCTTGGAGTTACAATTGCCCTCTGTCATCCAGTGGTGATAGGATAATACAGCCATATCAGTGTCACCTTGAAGTGCATTCAGGACTGTTTACAGTATAGGAAAATCCCCTAGGTTTTATCAAACTTTGAAAGCTTTGGCTTGTCATAGGCATTTTCAGTAAAAGTGAACCTATCAGTAACTTTGCAAGTCCACACATAATACAAATTCTTGACTTGTCACAATATAGAGTGATAATATAACAGCCTGTTATCATTAAAAAGCACTTTTTCATCCACTGGCGAGTGACTAGGCAGAGGTTGGGGGAACAAGGCAGTGCAGATGTTTGCTCGCAGAACTGTGGATCAGCTGTGGGTATAGGATAACTTTTTTTTTTTTAATAGTTGAACTGGATGGACTTTTGTCTTTTTTCAGCCAGACTAACTATGTAACTAACGTGTGTTTCTTCTTAAAATCTCCAGCTAAGTCTACGACTAAAGTCCATGAAGAGACAAGTAGAAGAAGCGGAAGAAGAAATTGATAGACTAGAAAGTTCCAAAAAGAAACTGCAAAGAGATCTCGAGGAACAGGTTGACATCAATGAGCAATTACAAACACAGCTTAATGCTGCAAAGAAGGAACTCAGGTTAGTGTGTAGTACAGCTCATGACTGGTGCACATTTAATAAAAGCATTACAAATATATACATTATTTTATAGAAAGTATAATTTTCTTATTTTGTGTGGTGTACTGTAACAGAGGATTTGTTTTTTAGTGACGTTCAAACCTCAACACATGTACATTTTCTTAAATGTTGCCTCGGTGGTTGGGGCACATTCACCAGTGTGCTGAGGTTTGTATCTCAAAAGGAACACTGTCTACCAAGTGTGTGTTCTCTTTATGCTGCTATTAGGCTCTTCCCAAGGAAGACCATAATGCTGGGCTGCTTTTCAAGGTCCATTTTTTTAAAAATGACATCATCTAAAAAAATATTGCATTTACTTGTAAATACATATTGTATGATATATTTTGTTAAAGATGAATTCTAGGTATGGCAATTTTTACATAGTTACATGCATGTCAATCCACAAAGAAAGCCTGCACCACAATATTTCCTCTGCAAGCATGGGCTTTATTTAATGGATATGCACAGTAAAAGCTACAAATGTCAACGCGTTTCAGCCAATATTGGCCTTAATCATGATGCTTGTCATGATTAAAGCCATTATTGGCTGAAATGTGTTAACATTTGCATATCCATTGATATTCATGTTTGCAGAGGACATATCATCTTGTTGGCTCTCTTTGTGAATTGATGGGGACGAGGATTCAGCTGCCTTAGCCTGGACCCTGGTATTATAGTCGTGGGATATAGCAGCACTTATAGGTTTGTTGATATGTATATTTGTACCATAGTTAGGGAATCTCTGTGGAAACTGGAAATCAATGTATTAGGCATCTCTACTAGAGTGATCGCAGTGGCTGCCCTGCTACTTTTTTTTTTTTTTAAGATACTGTTATTAAGTTTTAAGAGGTTTGAACAAAGCAAAAGGTACAAACTACAACAAAACAATAAACAGGTAGACCCAACAAGGTGGAAAGGAAGGAATCAACCTCTAACCAAAATGCATGGATTATAGGACAGGACCAGAAACAGTGAATGAAGTCAGCAGAGCTTCCGCATCCTCTAAAACATTCAGATGTGGGATGTAGGCCCATGGCTGCCCTACTACTTACTGAACACAGAAGACTGCTTGCTCTGCCACAGATGTCATCCAGGGAACATTTTGTAGTTTCTCAATGAATGCAAAGCATTCTCTGATTGGACAAGGTGGAGAAACAGGGCGATGAACCTCCACCTCATCCAATCAGAGAACACTTTGCATTCATTGAGAAAAAAGAAAGTGTTATCTGAATGGCACCCATGCTGAGCGAGCGACCTCTTGTTTGCCGTAAACTGAAGGGTAGCCATTCAGCATGGGACCAGAAAGCTATTGAAGATCACTGTAGTAGTGGTGCCTACTACAGTGATTTCCAGTTTTCACAGGGAGCCCACAGGTATGTGCACATACATATTTACATTGCCCCAAGCTAGACCAATGTATCTATGTAAAAATGCCATCCCTGGAATTCAGCTTTAACTTGCAGTAGAAGTTGTTTGCATGATCATTTAGTTACATATTTATTAAAAGTTACAATTGTTTTAACTTTACAAGTAGCAAAAAGATCAGAATCACAATAGCCTAACTTTAGGAACTAAACCTAAATTGTAGAAGTCGGCAATTCTTTATTGTAGAAAAGAAATGTCACTTCTGCTTTAATACACACTCACCTTCCTGCTATCAGTTTTCTATTGAATATAAACTGAGCTCTGCATTCATAGCACACTCCAGCTGTGCCAGAATGAATGACTGAATGACTCCAAGTGCGGGCAATGTCATCCTCCACTAGCCAATCGAAAGGCCAAAAGCCTGGCACCCAGGGAGAAGATGACAGTGGCCAGTGTGGAATGTAACTGCCACATTGCTGGAAGGTGGAGGTGAGCATATTGTGAGTTTAGTTCTGCTTTAATTCAATAATATCAGTAGTGTCATGTCTTACAAAGAGCAGCCCAGGTTTTTTTTTAGTTGTGTTTTAATATTTAGCAGCCACAGGGTCAAAGTGAACCTATGCTCTGCTCCTGCAGTGCCATGCAACAATTTCATTTAAATGGTAGTTTCACCTGCAGCTTAACTTTACTCCTTTGCTTACCAGAAGCTTTATTTGGAGGGAAGCATATGACTGACTCCTCTTCCTTCCATGTGATCACGTATGCTGGGTGCCTAAAATGCCAATCACCAGGACCATCATTCGGGGTGTAGAAGTGTGCTCAACCTTGTGTAGGTTCTAATTCACAACTCGGAGCTTACACAGAGCAAATTCTCTTCTCTCCTAATGGTCTTATGGATAAGTAATAGAGGTAAATATAAGCTGCTGGTTGGGCTGCTATTAAAATGAACTTGTTGCTTTACTCTGCATGTGAAAGAGCACAGGCTCCAAACAATGCAAGCTCATTGTTCTCTTTGGCATACATTCTCTATCTCCTGGAGATTACAGGTATGTAGGGACAAGTTGTTAACCAGGTGGTATAGAGTCCCCATGAAACTGCACTGCATGTTCCCGGATGTAGACCCTAGGCAAGGTGCAAGGCATATAAAGGCAGTCTGTTTCACATTTTGTTTGGTCCTGTCCACTGGTCCGCCTTTTCTGGCAGAGCGTATGTGCTGAGATCTCACAGACCTTTCACTTGACCAAGACCCTGCAGCCTGTCGTCTTCACCTCAGCTCCCGTTCCAAACAAAAATATCACCATTCTGTAGTAATCCACCTTATCAATGTGGCTAGAGCTTGCACCCCTAACGGAAGTAATTGGATCAACTCTGTGAATGACATAATGAGGATGGAAGAGCTTACTTTATCCCTTAGGAAACAAGAAGCCCATTTTAGAAAGACTTGCTTCTATGGGACTAAATTCACCCTTCTCTGTCATATACACAAATTTACTGGCCTCCAGCCCAAAGTAGACAGTGAGATTACAAATCAGGGACCTTCACTCCTCTCTACCCTTTTTTCTCAATTATTTCCCCTTCATTCCCCCTCTCTTCTCCTCTTGTTTTCCTCCTCTTACCTAAAATATAATGAAAATTGGTAGGAACCCTAGCGTTCTCCCATCAGCAACACATGCTTCCTCTCCTGAAGGTTGATTGCCTGACGTTTGTTATTATACCTTATAATCTTTGTTTAATTTTCTCTCAATATTAATCATGTAAAGACCTGCTGTACTGCTAACTTGTCTGGCTTATTGTGTCTGCTGTTTGGTTTGTCACTCTAAATAAAGAATTAAAAAAAAAAAACACAGGTTCATTTTACATAATAGCTGCATTCTGATTATGGCCATTTTAATTTTTGTTCTTTCTTCGATGTATACTGTGTTCATTATGATGTATCTATCTCTTTACTACTTGTTTGCAGAGTGATTCCTTTTCTACATTTGTGTTTTTTTCATTGCAAAATGTTAAGAAGGAATATTTTTTTTTCATGTTTTTCAAAAATTGCTGTTATGTTTTTAATATGACAAGCCGTATGTAGAATTTCTACATTTAAAATGGCCTTTCTCCTTGTTCTGTCATCGATTTGCATAACTGTTTAATGCTATGTATTTTTTGTAGCAGACGCAGGAACTCCCCAAGCAAGATGTTGAATGACCTTGATGACGATGATGACCTTAGCACTGATGGAGAGAGCCTTTATGAAGCACCTTCTTTATATAAATTTTCCAGAGATGATGGCCTCATCACCTAGACTGGATCTGTTATCTGGACTTTGAAAGACTAATAAACGATAGTACCCCATGCACTGTGTATTCCATGGAATAAAACGCAGGAAAACAACAGTTCGTGCAACAAGCCACACACCATTCTTTTCCCATACAAATCACAGTAAACTGATTTGTACAGAACAATGCCTTAAGGATGTTATGCTTTGTAAATATAATCTGCATATCATTTGTTATAGAGTATTTCAACTTATATTTACGTATATAATAAACTGTTACAAAATTAATTTAGCTTCAATGACTAATCGCAGTGCAGTTGCTGCAAGCTTGTTAGCGAAGACCTCAGACATCCAAACAAATAGCTTTATTGCTAAATGTCATTCCCTTCATTGACATAGCTAACAGTCTGGTGTAAATAATTGTTTATTTGCAATGATTCTTAGATTGCTTTGTTGTAAAATCCAATCTTGTGTCACATTTACAACATGCTTCTCTTGCTATCATGAAATGAAATATTATTTTTTTAATAATGTTATTACATCTATTAAAGAATCTTTTAACAGGAACATTCAAAGAACAGAATGGATTTTTTTCCCTTGAATTAATTAAATTCTAACTGTTAATGTGGTTTTCATTAGGATAAAAATTGTGCATAATGAATTTTTTTTTTCTTTTATTTTGTACAATCACGGGGTATATGAATACAGGAGGTACACATTGGCAAAACTGATCACATAAGCGTAAACAGAGCATACAGCATCTTGATCAATGGGATTATTGATACAACCAATAGACATAATGTGATGTCAACATAGGCAAACTGATGTGTCCAAGATGATACAGCAGTGGAGCTAATTCTTCTCTGATAACTGGGTGCTACCGCAAATACCGTCACTTCCAGCTACGACCCATAGTCAGATTGGGGATAGGTAGAAAAAGCGAACTGTGGGGGGAAAAGGGGGGGGGGGGGGGGGGGGGGGCAATACAGGTAGTATACATCAAAATCTTAAACATCCTACCATCCATCTGCTAAGTGCCATGTCTGCTGCTTGTGCTATCAGAAACACAAGAAGGCAAATTAAATTCAAGCATAATGAAATTTGTTTATTACGTTCTGGGATCCCATTCCAATAGCAGGTCTGGATGAAATGTTATACCCAATAAAATGACTGGCAAGAAAGATTGTTCTGATGATTTTACTACAAACAGTTAACAACAATCTAACAATATATGGGCCAGCTTAAGTGGAGCTAATATGTCCAATAAATATCTCACCCTTTGTTTAATCCATGCTTACAGACCTCTGCTTCTCTTAATTGACACTATAGTCCAGGCTTTCTCAACCTTTTCAACACAAAGGAACCCTTGAAATAACTTTCCAGGCTCAGGGAATCCCTACTTAAAATAGATATATCTACAATTCAGGGATGCATTAGTGTGATAGGCAATGGGAAGAGTGTTCCTTGTGGTCATTGGGAAGAATTATCCACAAACAGATAGCTAAAAAGATCAATGGTGTCAGTGGGAACTTGAGAGGCAGAAATGGCTCATTGCTCATGGAACCCTTAGCAACATTTGGAGGAACCGTAGAATTCCATGGAATCTTGGTTGAGAAACCTTGCTATAGTCCTGCTGTTCTCATGGACCATATGGGGCATGCTCAGTGGAGTAAAGGTTTATATTTTCTTGGAGCACAATAGGTCTTAGCATAAGTTTTAATCTATGTTTGCTGCAAGCAAGATGAATAAAGACTTGGTTGCCATTTCTTTTAACCTGCTGATGTGTCCTTTGTTTGGTAGCTATGATAGGCTAGAACGTTTCAGTGAAGGTTAAGTACCAGCAGTTTTGTAGGTAAAAATGGCTCATGGTAAGCAGTAGCTGATCAGAATCTCAAATACAAGCCAACTGAGTGCTTCTGAGAAAGATTGCGTTCCATGGGGATTTTTCTCAGAGTCCATCTGAGAAACTTTGATATGCACTGATGAAGGCAGATTACTTGGCCCCCAAAATGGGTTGGATACCACTGTTCTTATTGTGACATTTGTACCAAAATTAAGGGATTATGGCCTTTTGAGATTATTGTTTGCTGTGCTGCTTTGTTGATTACATTGTTCTGATCGCAGTTCCGAGTCAGTCTTCCCAGTAGCAATCCCATATAGTCAATCTGCATCTCCTTCCATAAACTGTACCCCATTTCATGTAGCCTGCTCTCACCTGAAGCCGGTACAGTAGTACATGAAAATGTATCATGTTTTCATTAGAAATAACAAGGGATGTTTTGCTATTCATTGGGCATGCCCTCCTGCTCAGTATTCACCAGAACTGCATTACTGCACATTTACCCCATGTGGATCTGGTCGGAGTTAATTGTCATGAAGTTACACTACGACTTGGTTTCATGTTGGCTTAGTTTATTTAAAGACTAGCAGATTGCCCAACCCTGATTTAATGCTTTTTTCATTTAACTCAGAACCCATTGAGCTGCTCCCCCCCCCCCCCACCTACACTTTTGCTAAACTCACAATGAAAGCATAATGGAATCCAAGCAGAGCAAGTTGTGTTATGAATGTTTAATCATAACAGTGTTCTTAATGTCTATGTTCCTAGGCAGGAGCAGAAGTTTATTTTACTCCTCAGTAAACACAGCTGGCCTGGCAGTTGTCACAAGGTATAGTGCTAATTTCTGCGGCCATATTTCCCTACTTCATTCGTGATCATTAAAAAGCAGTTATACATGTGCCCTTCACTATGACTCCTGCAGACTCTCACCCTGACACTATGTACTATGCATAGCGTTATTGATTTTACCGATTAGCATTTTCTATTCCCAGAGCAAAGTATAGATTTTCTATTTTGGGTATTTAAAATTACATTTCTGTGCAGCACAATCCAAACAATTCCTTCTGTTACATTATATGTGAACCACATTTTAAAATGTCTTTGGATGTTTTATAGAATTTACATCACTGACAAAAAAACCCTACTTGGCATGGCAATGAAAAAAGTACATAGGTGACCCCTGCTCACCCATAGATTCCAGCACCAGCAGTGCTCATGGAGCTGGGGTTAAAATATACATATATATATGGGCTGCCACTGCACTTTTTCTTGTCTTCCTAAAAAAAAATTCAGATAACACGTTACTTAGTTGAAGGGGAAAAGGGGAGAGGGATTATTTGGAAGAAGGTCGTCTATCTGCAAACGTTCAAAGACTAATTAGCTGCTTCAGGCCATCAGTAGAGCAAGAGAAGGAACTTGTGATTCTCATTGCACTAAACTGACCCAGGAGAACCTGGTTCACAAACATACTCAAACTTCTATGAGACAATTCTTGGCCTCTTCAAAACAGGCCAGACCTTCTGTCCCACAGCCCCTGGTCCATTCTACTTTGCAGTCACTGGCTTTAAGATTATGGCTGTTGAAACCCAGGTCTTGAGGTGCAGGGGGCTCTGATTCTCTCATTCCCACATTGCTGAAAGCCAGAAAAGCAAATTCCAGAAAAATTTACTAGTGTACCTTGAAATCCTTATTTGGCTGGTGTGAATACAGGCAATTTAATCCAATAGAATTCTCTGTGCCTCATAGACTTCCTACAATTGGGACTTGACCAGAATTTGACCTTAAGTACCCTCAAGGGACAGGTTTCGGCCTTTTCTATTTTGTTCCAAAAACCTCTGGCTTAATTTTCCCTGGTAAAAAAAAATGTATTCAGCATGTTTCTAAGATTAGAACACCCTTACAGCACCCTAAGCTTTCTTGGGATCTTAATTTGTGTGTCTGTGCCCTGCAGAAACCACCTTTTGAACCCATCAGGGAACTTGGATGACCTTTCCTGCAAAGTGGCCTTCTTAGTGGTTAACGTGGCTGCCAGATGTGTCTCCGAACTAACAGCCCTCCTTTGTAAGAAGCCTTTACTGAGTTCACAAAGAAAGTAAACTTGCACTGAACACCTACCTTTCTGCCTAAGGTTGTATTTAACTTCCACCCTAATGAAGAAATAGTCCTTCTCTCTTTGTGCCCTGCTCCCAAGCACCCCAAAGAGATCGCTCTCCATTGCCTGGATGTTGTCAGAGCTATCAGAGTTTATCTGGAAGCCAAAACTTCTATATAATAAATGCGCTTTTGCCAGGTGGATAAGACCACTCATCTCAAGAGCTTACACCTTAGGGGTAAGACACCTCCAGCAATCACCAAATTGGTAGATGTTTCCTGGGCATTCCAAAATCAAGCCTCTGTTGCCTAGCTTTGCAAGACAGCCACCTGGTCTACAATTCATACCATCTCCAAGTTCTACCAGGTAGGTGCCAAGCTTCTGCAGGTGCAGCTTTTGGTTTCAAGACTTTCACAGCAGCATTCTGAGTTGTGTCTGTTGGCACAGTTCTGTTTGCCTTGCTTGGGGACATCCCAGGGTCTATGAATATCCAGCCCCTGTCTTGTACTGTACTATTAATTTAAGAATTTTGACTTGCCTGTTAAACTCCATATCTTGGAGGACAATACAGGACACCCCCATGCTAATCCTGCGCTACTCTAAATTGTTTGCTTAAAAACTTGAGCTCTCATGGAGTGGGGTAAGGTTATAGGGGTATGGCCAGGAGGGGGCATGTCCAGCAACACTTTGCCAGTGTCCAATCACTTGAAAGTACCAGCCTATAACTCAGACTCTATGAATATCAAGCCTGTGACCTGTTCTGCACTCCAAGATATGGAAATTATAAGTAAAAAAATTAAGTCAAAATTGTCTCTTATTATGTACCTGGAGTTAGGCTTTAAAGTGTTACTAAACCCACAACAGTAAAATAGGGGTTAATCCTCTGCATTGTGTAAAAAGGCTGTTTGATCCAGTCTTCTCTGATCATCCCCTTCTTCTACAGTCCCCAATCCATCTGCTGATAGTACAGAGCTCTAGGAGACTCTCTGCATATGCTCAATTTAGGGTATATTGCTAGAGAGTTTTCTTTTTCTTGGGGAGGGAGCATGTGATCAGCACTGTCCAGGCAAAGAGTCATGCAGCCTCACAGGCCAGTCAGAGGAGAATGAAAACTCCTCTACAAGCTTTAACCAGTGCTCAACTGGACACTGATAGAAGTCACAAGACTGCTCTAACTGCTGATGAGAAAAGGTATTTAGCAGTTTATATTTACTAAAATAATTGCATTTCCATGTTCTGTGTACTGTGGGAGACCAGATATAGTGAATGCAGGGTCCTGGGGTTTAGTAACACTAAGAGAAACATGCCATCCTGATCTCCTCCCTTTAATACTTTTTAAGCCACTGACCCACAACCTGAGAAAAGTCTGACCTCTTGATCTACGTGCTTTGGGTCAGTGCCTAAAATTGTTGAAGCCAAAAAAAATAACAGGTAGGTGACTAAAAATTGCAAAATAAGACATTTCTTCAGTACAGAGTATCCCGATCCCTATTCTATCTTCTACTGTATATGTCCATTTCTCTAGATCTAATCTGCATCCATCCTTTGCTGATCCCACCACAGATACATTATGTATCTGTGAAGGAGAAGATAGGAGTGGTAAACTGCATTTTCAATGTGTTTGCTAGAAAACTTGCAAGATTCTGCAATGTATACACAAGATGTAGCATGTTGCTAAGCAGGGTTGCTATTAGAAATCATGGGGGCCCCCTACAGCCAACTTGATAGAGCCCCCCCCTCCAAAAAACAAACACAGTTTACTATGCTTCAGTTTGAATCAACACAATGAGTCATCGGTGTTGTGTGTGTCCAATCTAAGCATTGATAGTGTGATCTCTGTAACTTACAGTTGTGATGAGATAGCGATAACTTCAACCTCAGTTGGGGTCCACAGTCAGTGACTCAATGAGAACGACATCTTGTAGATCTTGTGAAGTTCATTTCATAAACAGAGAATATTTTCATAGAACATACCAGGGGCGGACTGAGAGAATCTGTGTCCTTGCCCAAACGCAATATGAAATTCCCCCCTATAGAACATAATGTTTCATGCTTCTTGCCATGAAGCTGTTGCAATGCATCTCTGGGAAGGGGGGAGGGCTATCTATTCAACATTAGCTAAACTAAAGGAAAGGGAGGAGCAGAGGCAAAACACTGAAAACATTTAAAGGCATTTGACAGTCAATATGACAGTCATGTGAAACATGACACTCCCCATCGAAATCTATGATTTCTATAATAATGAACTTTAGTTCAAGTCCAATATAAATAATAATGAAATTTCTTTCTATGAACATCTGTAAAACAAGAGGAAGGAAAGAACAAGGCAAAACAATGCAAACATTAAGCATAATACAGATGTTGGTCTCAAAAGGTCCAGGCTGAGACATGGAAATCCAACTTCAGAGGGAAGGCAGCAACATGCACGATTCCTTCTTGCCTTCCTTTAAATCAGGTTGATGACTTGTCTTCCTCTTTGGCAAAAGAAGTACTAATTCCTTTATAGGCCTGCAGTAAAGGTGTGCAGAACCTTCTTTCATGGTGGATATAGCCAAGATGTGTAGTGAAATGCAGTAGTAGGTACTTCACGACTGCCGCAGTCAGCAGGGTTGAGGCTTGTGGGAACATAGTGCCATTCTTCAGGCATAGAAAGACATGAATCTCTCTTCTGGTTGCATTCTTTGAGGATGCTTGGGTGTAAGCGTGGTATCTGGAGTTGTTCTAATGCTTTTAGAGACTGTTTCCAGGATTCCCACCTTTGTTGTTTCTCCTTGGGTAAGGTGGTATTCCAGTCTGAGCTTTCAGAAGTAAGCTGTCTCAGCAGTATCTTACCCTGAATGGTAAGAGGTGTAATGAAACCTAAGGGATGATAAATGCTGTTTACTGTAGACAATACTCCTCGCTTTGTGAAGGGCTTGGCACAGGCTGATGCTTGAAATGTGAATGTGTCTTGTTTAACATTCCAAAGCAATCCAAGACTGCGTTGTGTAACAGAAAGGTCAGATCCTAGTTGGAATTTCTTCACACTGACAGCATGGTCATCAGATGGAAAGGCTGTCATGACCTTGTCGCTGTTAGAGATGATTTTGTGAAGTCTGAGGTTTGCAGTGGCAAGCATGTTCTGGGTTCTGGTAAGAAGGTCAATAGTTTCTTCTTCATTGGGCAAAGATTTAAGTCCATCGTCTATATAGAAATTCCTTTCGATGAACTGTCTTGCATCAGATCCAAATACTTTCTCACCCTCTTGAGCTGTTTTCTTCAGTCCATAAATTGCTACTGCAGGAGGACTGTTACCAAAAAACATGTACCTTCATTCGATAGTCTATGACTTCATCGTTGACATCATTATTGCGGTACTATCGGAACCTGAGGAAGTTTCTGTAGTCTTCACGGACGTGACGGTGAAACATCTGCTGAATGTCAGCCATAACCGCAATTGGCTCTTGTCTGAAGCGAAGTAAAACTCCTATGAGATTGTTGTTCAGATTAGGCCCAGTGAGAAGATTGTCATTGAGGGAGACGCCTTCATGATAAGCACTTGAGTCAAAGACCACCCTAATTTGATCAGGCTTGCGAGGATGGTAGACACCAAAGCATGGTAGATACCAACATTCTTTCTCCTTCCATAAGAGGAGGTGCAGGCTCAGCATGATCTCTCTCAAACACCTTCTGCATAAAGTCCACAAAGTGCCTTTTCATCTCAGGCTTCTGGTTCAAACTGCGATTTAAAGAAACAAACCGTGATTCTGCATGTACCATGTTGTTTGGTAGTCTCTTTCTTTGGGTACGAAATGGTAGCGGTGCACACATGCAGTGTATAAACGAGCAGTTGTAAAACATTCACATCGATAATTTTGTCCTGACACTGATGAATGTTATGCTGGGATATACTTGGAGGCATGTACAGACGTGTAGAGGTGGCTGTACTCTCTATAGCTGTTATATCCAGTATCCATGTAACATCTCACTGTGTATACTAGTTAGCAAGGATTATTATGAAGCATTCCACGTTTCTTTTGACTGTTCCGTTGGCTCCAATCTAAGCATTGATAGTGTGATCTCTGTAACTTATAGTTGTGATGAGATAGCGATAACTTCAACCTCTGATGGACACCACAGTCAGTGACTCAATGAGAACGACATCTTGTAGATCTTGTGAAGTTTACTCCATAAACTGAGAGAATCTTACAACAATGAAATTCCATAGAACATACTGTTTCTGCTTCTTGCCATGAGGCTGTTGCAATGCATCTCTGGGAAGGGGGGAGGGCTATCTATTCAACATTAGCTAAACTAAAGGAAAGGGAGGCGCAGAGACAAAACATTGAAAACATTTAAAGGCATATGACAGTCATGTGAAACATGACAATCGGTACTGATCACTGATTGTGTTCATTCAGGGAAGGAAGGGGCAGGTAAATGTGACATGCTGCAGTGGGAAGGAGAGGAGAGAAGTCGGCAGCACTGCAAGGGTGGGAGCACAGGGGGCAACATTTGGTGAACAGGGAGTGTGATGGGGGCAATTACTGGATCCCATCCCCTGTATGTCTCTCTTTGCAGCAGCTGCAGAGAGAGCCATACAGGGGATGGGATCCAGTAATTGCCCCCTTCCCGATCCCCCTCTCTGCCCACATCCGATTTACCCAGCTGCCTGGACCCCCTACTGGCCTGGTACCCTCTTATCCACAGCCCTGTTGATAAGCAACCCTCATCTCTTGAATGAATGAACTACAAGTCCGTCTATCACCGCGGCAGACAGACCTATACTTCTATATGTGGTAATCAGCGCACTCATAGTCTATTGACACTTCCTCCAGCTCTCTATCTGAAATTGCATACAGAGGTACGGGCAGAGAGCTGGAGGAACAGTCTGCAGGAGCCTGACATTGCACATGCACATGTAATGCTTTGAAGGCTCCTGAGAAAAAAAAATTAAATGCACATTTTTTCCTGCAAAATACATGCGTGTCTACTTATTTTTTTTTAAAAGTGAACTTCGTCCCTTAATGTAACCAACACATAAATGCCTTTTTGCACCATAGAAACGAAGGTGACTTGATATCAGCATGCAATGCAGAATGTACTAGAGATTTTTTTTCAGTTAGGAAGGGGGGGGGGGGCACTTTAAATACCAGCTTCAGCATGTAAATATTGAATTGTATGGATGAACTCTATTATTTGTTTGCAGCAAAGGCCGTCACGTCGCATTCCTTTTACACTGAAAGCATGTTTGTATTATACACACAGGTATAATATGCATAGCTAGCATAGCAGTTACTGTATATAAAGCAAGTCGATTTTGTACTTGATGTTTACTTTAATGCATTATTTAAAAAAGAAAATAAATGCATGTAATTATCCTATACACAGTATTTCTGCAGATATAACAAAAGACCCCATGTGATATGAAGTAGGTTACCAAATCGGTGTCACAGGAGACGTTCTGATATTGTGAAACCGACTTTCATGCCTCTACCCTTAAATCCTCCAGTTTCAGTACAATGGATCCTGAAGACAGGTGTCGGTGTTTTCGCTGCGAGAGTATTACTTTAGTACTATGTTTCTATCATACATTTTGAGCACAAAAAACTGTACATGAAGATATTTTTATCACTCAGAGGTATGTGGTAAAGACCCTCTGACCGCATGATAGGTGCACTTTTCTCACTGCAATGCATAAAAACTCACTGCAATGCATAAAAACTCACTGCAATGCATCGCAAATCCATGTGCGTTGATGTGCTTTTAACCACTTGCCCTCCAGAGGATTTACCCCCCTTCCTGACCAGGCCATTTTTTACAATACTGCACTACATTACTTTAACTGACAATTGTGCGGTCATGCAACACTATACATAAAGTAGATTTAAGTCCTTTTTTTCCCCACAAATTCAGCTTTCTTCTGGTGATATTTGACCACATCTGTGGGGTTTTTTTTTGCACTATAAACAAACAAAGACAGACAATTTAAAAAAAAAAAAAAAACAATATTTTGACTTTTTGCTATAAAACATGTCCAATAAAAAAAATCTTAAAAATCACATTTCATCATAAATTTAGGCCAAAATGTATCCTTTGCTAAAAAAAATCCCAATACGTGTAAATGAAATTGTTTACGTGAATGTTATAGCGTCTACAAATGCCGGTATCTATAATGGAATCTGTATTTTTTTATACTAATAATGGTGGCAATCAGCAGCTTATAGCGGGATTGCGGTGGGCATTCTGACACTGGGGGAGAACTGACTAACTGCCACTGACATCCCCAGTGACACTAATACAGTGATCAGTGCTAATAAAAAGCACACTAATGACACTGAGCAGGAAGGGGTTAACGTTTGGGTGATCAAAGGGTTAATGGTTTGCTGTGTGTGTTTTTATGGTGTGTGCTGTTTTACTATGGAGACATGCTGCTTTGTATTTCTCTGCTGTGCAGAGAAATACCAAGCAGCATGTCCTTGCTGACAGGAGAAAGACCTGTGTTGTTAACACACAGGTCTCTCCTCTGTCAGCTTTACACAGCAATTGTTGGGTATTGAATCTCCGGACTGGACCAGGTAATTGACACCCCTAGTCACCAATGGCGGTGTGGGTAGTGCGGCACGCATGCTCCCTACTCAGAAATGCAAATCACACACACACATATATATATATATATATATATGTATATATGTGATTTTGCTCAGCCCTGCCGCTCTGTAGCATTACTTCTACTATAGGCCGACGTCAAGCTGTTAATGTGCATTTTTATGTGCCTTGCATTACATTGTGTTTTTATGAATGTTGGTATGTGTTTTCATGTCATCCATTGTGACGGCAGGGCCCTGGAAGGTTCAAAAACTAGCAAAAACCCTTTTTACTTTCAGTTGTGTTAAAGATTAGATATTTTAATACAAACCACTGCAATGTACACAGCATTTTGGTGTGAACGAGGTTCCCTTGTTTTTTGTATGCCCTTGCATTTACCAGTGTTGATCCAGTTCAGAAAAATGCAGGTCATTGCACATGGTGTGAAGGAACCATTACACTGGTAATACACTATGCAATCTGATTGTACAATCTACTTTATAGTGGTTGTAAAGGCTGAAGGTTTTTTTTACCTTCATGCATTCTATGCATGAAGGTAACAAACCTTCTGTGTGCAGTATCCCCCCCCCCCCCCCCAGCCCCCTCAATACTTACCTGAGCTTCATCATGATCCAGCGGTGTGAATGACAGACTTGGCTGTCCAGGACCTCTGCCTTCTCAATCACAGCCAGTCAGCCAATGGGGAGAAAAGAGGGGGTGGGGCCAAGTCACGGGGCCAGCTTGCTATGGAGGCACCCACTGCTCCATGTATCCATTCACACATGGATCAGTGGGTGCCTCTATAGCAAGCTGCTTGCTGTGTGGCACCTGACAGGATGGAGGGGCCAGGAGAACCTGCGGGGGGGGGCCCAAGAAGAGGAGGATCCGGGCTGCTCTGTGCAAAACCACTGCTCACAGCAGGTAAGTATGATGTGTGTTATTTCACAAAAAAAAAAATAAACTTTAGATTTAAATTTACCAAAACTATGTAATATGAAGACTTTCATATACCCAGTGAAGTGACTAGCCTCAGGTGATACACAGAGATGAAACAAAACCTCCAACATAAGTTGTACATGTTTATCTGCTGTATTCTGTTTGTAACATCCGTTCAAGGTGTTGAATTTGTAAAGCTTGTCTGAGAGTTAAAAAAAAGGGGGAGGAGAGCTGAAATTACACACTGCAGAGCTCAGAAAGTTGAACTATGAGAGCTGATTGGGACACACACCCCTTCACACAGCACACAGGAACAGAGCTGAGGCTGTCAATCAGCTGGAGGCCCCTCCCCTGTCAACATTTTTCTCTTGGTGTCAGAAAAACTTGTCAGAAGTGATTCATGCTGATACCAGAGGAACAAAGCAGCAGACAGAAATGACACCTCTCCCCTCTCACACCACTATCCCTCTACAGTGTGTACTTGTCTAAGTGAAGAGCACTATGGGGTTGATTTACTAAAACTGAAGAGTGCAAAATCTGGTGCAGCTTAGCATGGTAGCCAATCAGCTTCTAACTTCAGCTTGTTCAATTAAAGTGTTACTAAACCCACAATAGTAAAATCAGTCTGTATATGCGAGGTTAATCCTCTGCATTGTGTAAAAAGGCTGTTTGACCCTCTCTTCTCTGATCCTCCCCTTCTACTGTTCCCCATTCCATCTGCTGATAGAACATAGCCTTGGAGGAAAGCTGCACATGCTTACTTTGGTGTGTACTGCTAGATAGTTTTTTTTTTTCTTAGGAGAGTGCATGTGATCAGCACAGGGCCAATCAGCACTGTCCAGACAGAGGGTCAGGGGTGCTACAGCCTCATAGGACAATCAGGGGAGAATGAAAGCTTTAACAATCTTTAACAAGTGCTCTGCAGAACACTGATAGAAGTCACAAGACTGCTCTTACTGCTGATGAGAAAAGGTATTTAGCAGTTTATACTTACTAAAATAATTGCATTTCCAGGTTCTGTGTACTGTGGGAGACCAGATATAGTGAATGCAGGGTCCTGGGTTTAGTAACACTTTAAGCTTTGACAAAAAAAAACAAAACCAAACTGGAAGCTGGTTGGTTTCTATGCCAAGTTGCACCAGATTTTGTATTCTCCAGTTTTACTTAATCAACCCCATAGTTCTCTTCATTGAAACAAGAGCACACAATAGAGATATGCTTTGTTCATATTTCATGTCTGAGGTTTACAACCACATCAGCTCGTTCACTTTCTGTCCAGTTAGGCTTTTGTACTACATAGTTGTTGGTAGATCTGAAGGAGATCATATAATCAGATTGTATAATGAATGTAGAATGTTGAAGCCCAACTCCAAGAAAAGTAAAAGTCCTCCCATGCAGTGGGGCTGCTCATTTCTATCTAGTGGGCAGCACAGTGGCTAAATGGTTAGCACTTCCACCTGGCAGTACTAGGGTCATTGGTTCAAATCCCAGCCACAGCACCTCCTGCCTGGAGTTTGCATGTTCTCCCTGTGCCTGTGTGGGTTTGCTCCCACACTCCAAAGACATGCTGCTAGGTTAATTGGATCCTGTCTAAATTGGGTCTTGTATATGAATGTGAGTTAGGGACCTTAGATTGTACGCCCCCTGAGGGTTAGGGACTGATGCGAATGTACAATATATATGTAAAGCGCTGCGCAAATTAATGGCGCTATATAAGTACCTGAAATAATATTAAATAATAGTGCAAAGGAAAAGCACTTTTACTCACCTGATCCTCCACTCTACTCAACAGACATTGCTCCCCTATGCTCCAGCAATGGATTGTCTCTTGGTGTCCTCACATCCAGCACTATAGGTCCTGCATTAGGTGACGTCAGAGGACCTTAGACTGCAGGAGAGTAGGGGAGACAAGGCTGCAGGGACTGTTAAAGCAGCATAAAGAAGCCTGCAGGAATAGAAGATCAGGTAAATTAGACTGCTGTTGCCGGTCCCCCTAGACCTAAACAAGCACTGCGAGGGGGGACTTTTTGTTTTTCCAGAGTTCAGCTTTAAATCCTAAATGAGAATCTATTGATAGTGGACAATTATCTGAGTGCCTTATCTCCATCTGCTCTGTAGCGGCACCTGCTGGTGACTACAGGTATCACACTGCAATCCCTAAGCGATAAGACCTTTATGAGCAATATGAGCATAAGACAAGGAGCAGTATATGAAGGAGATGAGAACAATAAATGAAAGTTCCATGAAGACTATGGTTCTATGAAGGTTTTAGCTCACACATATTTCCCTTCCAATTATTATCAATTTCTATTTTATGTCAGGCACATACCAATGAATAATTTATGTGTTATTGGTGGTAAAATAGCAAGGCAATAGAATGAATTTCTAAAAAAAAAAGAAGCAAAAAATAAAGCAAATCATTTATAAGTCCGTGCATCTCAGAAGCATGGCAAAACATACTGCTTCTGACTAGTCTAAAGCCCATGTGAACAAAGCCCTAACGATAAGGGATAGATTTACAGAATCTGGTGCAGTTTTGCATGGTAGCCAATCAGCTTCTAACTTCAGCTTGTTTAATTAAAGCAATTGTAGAGGAAAATGTTTAATTTTTAAAAAATACCAAACATCTCTATACTTACCTGCTCTGAGCAATGGAATTGCACAGAGCGACCCCGAACTTCCTCTTCACGGGTCCCCCACCGATGCTTCAGGCTTTTCCTCTCCAGTCCAGTGCCCCCATGGAAAGCTGCTTCCCATGGGGGTACTTGTGTGTGCTAGTTCCTAAGCTCCGCCGCTCCATCCATTGAACCCGATTGGAGCCAATGGCTTTCACTGCTATCAATCTTCCCAATGAGGAGGAGACAGCGGTGAGAGTCACTGCTATCGTGCATGTCGCTGGATCAGATCAGGGTCGGGTAAGAATAAGGGGGGCTGGGGGTATCCTGCAGCAGAGAAGGTTTTCTACCATAATTCATAGAATATTTTAACAGGAAAAGAGAAAATCCAGAATCCTCTGCACTTCTTCCACTTTATTGATGCTTTCATAAATAATATCACATACGGTGTCGGGAACAATAGGAAGTTAACGCGTTTCACATTTGGAACTAGCAATTACTCATAACCTAGTTAAACGCTCGCTAGTTCCAAGCGCGAAACGTGTTAACTGAGGTCATCACAGAGGACAAGGGGGCACTCTTTACGTCTGGAGGAAAAGAAATTTAATCTTCAAAAATGGAAAGGTTTCTTCACAGTGAGAGCTGTGAAAATGTGGAATAGACTCCCTTAAGAGTTGGTTCTGGCCAGCTCAGTGGATTGCTTTAAAAAAGGCCTGGATTCTTTCTTAGATACACAGAATATAACTGGATACTAACATTTATAGGTAAAGTTGATCCAGGAAATATCTGATTACCTCTCGGGGGATCAGGAAGGAATTTTTTTTTTCCCAGCAGGATTAAATTGGATCATGCTTTGCTGGGTTTTTTTGCCTTCCTCTGGATCAACTGTGGATGTAGGATTATAACTTTTTTTTTTTTTTTAATGTTTGAACTGGATGGACTTTTGTCTTTTTTCAGCCAGACTAACTATGTAACTGTTTATTGTTCCTGACACCGTATGTGATATTTTTAATGAAAGCTAAAATAAAGTGGAAGAAGTGCAGCGGATTCTGGATTTTCTCTTTTCCTGTGTGGCTGCAGACGAGCTAGGCGTGCACCTTCACTTATTGTGGTCAGTGGCAGACAGATACTCATCACCTGGAACAGCTTTGCTTGATGTATAGAATGCTTTTCAGGTAAAAAACCTCGAGGCTTTAGAACCACTTTCAGCTTTGGCAATAAAAACTGGAAGCTGATTGGTTTCTATACAGAGCCCCCAGGTGAGTAACCCCTTCATTCACCTCACATGTACCCCACAACCTGCTGCTGCAACCCCATAAAAAGCCAAACTTCTAATTATAGGAGAAACCAACAGCCTCACACATCCCTTACTCCCGAGTACACACACAAGTGATATTTTATACATAGGCGGGGTCTGGTTAGGTAAGGCTGGCCATACACTATACAATTTTCTTTAGATTTACCAAATACCATATAATAGGAGGTCAAACCTAAACAACACTTTCAATTGTATCCAATTAGGCAAGCCCTTGCACTACACAGTTGAAGGTAAATCTAAAGAAAATAGGGCAGAAATTGGACAGAAAATTGTATAGTGTATGGCCAGCCTAAGTCTCCTTCTAGCCACTATACTCCCCAGATCTGATCATCTTACATTGATACAAGGTGTGCAGACCTGGGGGGGGTCCTGAGAGTTAGGGTCCATTTACACTTTGGCACTGAGCTGTGTTGCCATCTATTTTGAACGGAACCTCAATGCAGCGACATCACAACCACAGCAACACCTGACTGGAGTTTGCATGTTCTCCCTGTACCTGTGTGGGTTTCCTCTAGGTAACTCCGGTTTCCTCCCATACTCAAAAGACATGCTGGTAGGCAAATTGGCTCCTGTCTAAATTGTCCCTAGTATGTGTATGTATGAATGTGAGTTAGGGACCTTAGATTGTACGCTCCTTGAAGGTTAGGGACTGATGTGAATGTACAATATATGTATGTAAAGCGCTGAGTAAATTGATGGCGTTATATAAATATTTGTATTAAATAACACAGGCAATGCAGCTCTCACGCAAATGCGTTGCATCGCACCACAATACATGGTTATGCAACACTCTACATTGTGGTGCACTGAGTTGGAAAAAATGCTGCATGTCTGATTATTGTGTCTATTCTGGTGCATTGGCATCCCATTCATTTCAAAGGGGTGCTTTAACAGTCATATGATTGCTCAGTTCTCAGACGGAGAACAGCTGCATTTCTGCATTCCCACGTTTCTTCTTATTTTTATACTAATAATGGCATCAATCAGTGACTTATAGTGGGACTGCGGTGGGCATTCTGACACTGGGGGGAACTGATTAACTGCCACTGACATTCCCAGTGGCACCAATACAGTGATCAGTGCTAATAAAAAGCACTGACACTGTACTAATGATACTGGGTAGGAAGCGGGAAACATCTGGGGCGATCAAAGGGCTAACTGTGTGCTGTGTTGTGTTTTACTTGGGAGACATGCTGCTTTGTATTTCTTTGCTGTGCAGACAGATACAAAGCAGCATGTCCATGCTGACAGGAGAGAGACCTGTGTTGTGTACACACAAGTCTCTCCCCTGTCATCTTTGCCTGATGATTGCCAAGTGCCAGCCGGGAATTGTAAGCCAGGACCCAGTGATTGACATCCCTAGCCGCCAATAACGGCACAGGGAAGGTGCGCTTGTGTGCGCCCCCTACCCAGACATGCAAATCATGTTTAGATACATGATTTTGCGCAGCATTGCCGCCCTGTAGCACTACTTCTACTATAGGGCGGAGGGCAAGTGGTTAAGCACAAATCACAATTTAAATACTTATATTTGCTCAATTTTTGATGTGGTCAGGTGACTGCAAAGCCCTGGCCCCTCTCTGTGATGTGTGGAAGAGGACAGTGCTCATAGCAGTGAAAGCCGGTGGGAGACGCCACTGTTATAAGGAATTCTGCACCATTGTTACATGGCCACATAGACTTTGGAACAAGAAAAGGTATATACTGTACACCTGTATAAACTGAGATGTGTGTTTAATTGTATGCAAGGAGACGAGGGGCGGTGAGGGAAGCAACATTTAAAAGATAGGAATTGTGAAGTCTAAACTTCTACTTCAACCCAGCCAGTTGATTGGACAGTAAGGAGAAGCAGCACACAGATGAGGTCATCTCTCTGCTCTCCCCTTCTGGAAGCATGTTCATTAAAGGAAATTGGCAGCACTGTGCAATGCAGTAAAACCTGATTGGCTAAGACTATTGCGGCTCCTGCCCTAAATGTAAGCCCTAATGTGCAAGGGACTGCAGGATACTAACTATTACCAACACTTAAAATGGTTGTAAACCCTTACATATACCCAGTGAAGT